AACAAAGCTATGCTTTTCCGAGGTCTCGCTGGATCCGAACCTCGGTTCTGTTCTATGATATTTCGAGCAGGAGGAAAACTGTACAGGAGAATTTGATTGAGCAGAACTTAGATATCTTCGCTTTTCGCAGAACTCAAAGTCCTCGTCGGGGGTCCGTCCAGCCAGTTTCTCGACCGACAGGCAACTATAGTGTAGCCACCACACGGCATTCCACGGAGGCACGGATAGGACCCCCCGGGGCCGCGGCGCAATCGGTTAGCGCCGATCCCAAATCTCAGCAGAGGGTCCGGGTTCGACCCCCGGGACCAACGTGCAACCGCTATTTCTCCCCAAAACCTTTGCCAAGCTTTTGCGTTTTGCTTAAAAACTGTGCTCCAGCCATTGAAAACTGCTAAAACAATAAGGATCTGGAAAAATTAACCCGATCAATAAAGAGACGGTTGATCCACTGGCGTCCATTTTCGCAAAACAGTCACTTGGAGCCATTTTAAGCGTCGATTTCACGCACTGGGGGGTAATCGACCTTGATTTTACCAAATCTAGGCTCAGATTTCAGCGACAATCCTTGGTTTCTGCGCTATTTAAAACCGCACAAAATCCTGAACTGAACTTCAAAAGACCATCACAAAAAAGTACCAGAATAGATTTTCGATAGTTAGGTCTCAAAATCTGCGCCTTGGCGTCTAGAATATTTAAATCTAATTGAGTTTGTAATTTTTCTATTACATTTCGAGAAAAATCCAGTTTTGTCCAAAAGTTTGTTCATTTTCGAACAAAAACGTAGCGAGCGCGCTGTCCCCTTGTGCAAGGGAGCCTGCCGTAGCCCAAAAGCTATCCGTGCCTGCCTGTTAAAGCCTGGAATGGCGTGACCATGCCCCGAATTTTTCGCTACAATTAATGACGAGGCCGCAGGAGAATGATGATGGTGCTGAGTTTGTGAATAATAATGCTTTTGACGCTGCGGTCCCAATACAAACGCAGAATGCCTTTAACAAGCGCGTAATTTTTGCGTGTTTCACAACGTGCGCCCGAATATTCACGGGGGTGATCGTTTTCATTGTTGGTCCATCGCGTTGGGCGCCTCCTAATTGTTTTGTCTCCGAAAGGCGCGTGCCCATCTACGGATATATAAACCCCCATCCGACCACCCGACCCTAAAACTATCCTCCAGTTTCCAATTCCAGTTTCTAAAGACCAATTTCATTGTTTTTTTATGGCTTACAAGGTCCGCGGGCAGTTTGGCTAAACTGCTCCGAGCCTATTTAATGATTTCAATTTAGGAGGATGAACCCCTTCTTCTTGGTCACATACATCTACCTAGTAGTAGTCAATATGATCAATGCCGGGCCCATCAACGCCAGTCGTAAGTTTTTTTGCTCCGACTCCACTCCACCGTAGCCACGTTCAAGCCGGCTAGCAAGAAAAATGCGACAATGGTTTTGCACCCATCTTCAGGCTGGCCCGAGCCTTAAGCTTGAGATTTGACACAAAAACCAAAACTTTCCTAGGGCTTAAAGTCTAAAAAGGTTTCTTGGAACGATCGCAACGTTGGACCGCTACCTGTCGAAAAGATTTCAAATTCGACGTCTAGGACGACGGTCTGTACAAAATGGTTTTTGCCGTCGAGTAGGCGCGTTTTTAAAGAGATTCCGACGGCCCGTGTCTATCAGGGCTCATCGACAATTGGCAGCTAACCAGCCGGTCGGAGAGGATTCGCCATAAATTCCTCAGAGCTTTGTGGAAAGGGTTCCGCGCCAGTGGGCCAAAGGAACCACGTTTACTACCACTTTAAAGCTTCAATAACACTCAGAAAAAAGCTCTTGTTAATAGTATAGGCTAGTCGTGGCACACACGGTCTGAATCGTCGAACGACACCATGTCCTTTCAGCCCGGTACGTTTGCTTCATCACGAAGCCGCCCGACTACGGGTGTATGGAGAGCGAGTGGCAACCGGAAGCGGCTGCCATCCTTTTTATACATGAATCGACCATCTACGGTGGGGCGCTCTCGGACTCACTTGCTACTACCATTTTTTCAGCCTGCAACAAGGGCTCACGGCCGTGCCTGCGTATGCGCGATGAGCTCGGGAATTTCATAACCCCATCATGCGTCGAACGCGTAGAAGGCACCGGCCCCTTACAAGGAGTGCCCTTTTAGTGTCATCGGCAAAACCTTTCGCGACCTACCTCATTCGATAGAGAATTGAATTCTGAACAAGCTCCCGTTGTTCGTTTTTGCGGAATGGCTGTCGCCGATTTTATAAAATTAAAAAACTAAAAACAGCATTTTTGGACCACGATGCTCGCGCCACCCCCAAAACCGCCCCCGGGGGAAGAGCCGCTCTGACCTCTCCCAACCACCAGTAAGCGTGGCGCAGTGGCTAACACCACGGCCTACCAAACTTTTTTTTGTGATTCACGCAAAAGTTCGAAACTCACATCAACAATTCATTTTGCTTTTTGAATAAGGTTATGCTTGGAACCCCTTGGGGACATTTTATGTGAATTTTTGAGAAAAGCCGGCTTGCACCAACTAGTTTCTTATTTAGCGCTTGGTTTTCAAAAACATAGGCTTTTTCAAAAAGGCTGCTCGATTGTCACTGCTTCAAATAAAATGGCGGTTGACCAATGAAGCCAGTGCAATCAAAATTCAAAAAGCAAAATGAATTGTTGATGTGAGTTTCGAACTTTTGCGTGAATCACAAAAAAAGTTTGGTAGGCCGTGGTGTTAGCCACTGCGCCACGCTTACTGGTGGTTGGGAGAGGTCAGAGCGGCTCTTCCCCCGGGGGCGGTTTTGGGGGTGGCGCGAGCATCGTGGTCCAAAAATGCTGTTTTTAGTTTTTTAATTTTATAAAATCGGAGACAACCATTCCGCAAAAACGAACAACGGGAGCTTGTTCAGAATTCAATTCTCTATCGAATGAGGTAGGTCGCGAAAGGTTTTGCCGATGACACTAAAAGGGCACTCCTTGTTAGACTGTAGTATGTTTTACCGAGTTATCATTACGTTCCTTTTCATTTGCCTTTCGATTTTCTGAATTTTTCATTTCCATTGCTGATATCCAATTACTATAACCATTTCTAGGGCCGTTGGATGCTTGGGGCTCCTCAAACGAGCCCAACATCCTGGCACAAAGTAAGTAAATTCCTTTAAAAAGCCAGTCAAAGCAGAACTAAATTCGGGTAAAAGCGCATTTCGCCTTAACGAGGGAACCTTCTAAAGTCACGGCGGGATTTTGACATGGGACCTAGTGTATCTTGTGCAAAATTTTTGCTGTTTTCGAACTGTTTACAAAAACTGTGAAATAACTCGGATTCCAGGGTTATGAAGCATTTAAGTGCGGTTTTTGGCCCCCGGAAGTTGAGTGGCCATCTTGCCATCCTTTTTTGTTTTACTCTTCTAATTTATCACAAGCAGTCTATCTGATAGAGATTTTTTCTGATTCGAATGGTATATTTCATTCAAACCTAGGTGCTTCTAGGCCGCAGTTTACCCGTGTGCGAAATACGCAGTTTTTCGCCAAGTCCCATACAAAAATTGCAGGCCATACCAACCATCTTCGATTTTTTCGATTTTTGACAATTTTGAGTTAAGCAGCTCATTCGATAGAGAAAACGATTCGGAATAAGATGGCATTATTCTTTTTTAGAAAATCATTAGCAACATCAAAATAATCGAGCATGAAGTTGGCCAATTTTTGCTTAAAAACTTAAAAACGTTATAACGTTTGCATCCGAGCTATTCCGCAGCTTTTGAAAACAGATTCGCAATCAGCAAACAATTCTGCAAAAGATGTGCTAGGTCCCGTTTTGAGATACCAGCGAGACTTTCAGAGGTTCTCTTGTAAGCCCATTTCGGCCATGCCCATTTCGCTTAAATTTTGATCATTTGGATTGCGGCATTTTTGATCGCAAAGTCCAGCCTAAGCATCTTTGGAAATTATTGGAAGTGCTTTATTAATTTCCACGCGTAATTCTAAAAATTCTTGGTGAACGCCCGTCGAAGCAAGTTACAAGCCGCCAAGTGCTATTTTTAAAAATGTACAAACGTATAAAACTGCCGAAAAATGCTGACTTTTTGATAATAAATTTGGCTACCAAAATCATTAAAAATCTAGTCGAAAGGGGACTTTAACGAAACGGGTTTAACCAAAATCGTTTTTTGATGCTCAGCAAACGTTTTTAGTCCAAGTCCCGTACCTTGACCTGATGGCGGCTCGGCAGAGTGGCAAGAACCCCGGAGACGCCTCCTCGGTACCGACGCCAACAACGGGCCCCGAGAGCCCAGGAGACGCCGCCTCGGCACCGTCGCCAACGACGGGAGCGGAGAGCCCAGGAGATGCCTCCTCGGTACCGACGCCAACAACGGGCCCCGAGAGCCCAGGAGACGCCGCCTCGGCACCGTCGCCAACGACGGGAGCGGAGAGCCCAGGAGATGCCTCCTCGGTACTCGCGACGTCAACGGAGGGCCCAAAGATGCCGGAAGTCGAGCCAACGCCGGACGTCGTTCAGGTGAATTGTCTAGTAGGATATCTCAAATTGCGGGGAATGAATGGGGCCCTCCCACCTTCCTAGTTTATAGCACCCTTTTCAGAGTGGGGCCCATCGTCCTGCAGGCCCGCTGATGCTGGCAATCGTGGCCCTAACATATGTGCTCCGCGGGCTGTAGCCCACAATAAAAACCTCGATTTTTTTTCTGCAAAACGTCTAACAAGCAAACGCATCTCGCATTCGGCGAAATTTTCGAATTTTCGCTAGCAGCACTAGAGTCTGGGCAGTTTGCCTAAGTTACCTGTCTTACCATCCGCTGAGGGCCAATTGATTAAGAAGGAAACACATTGAAGCCTTTCCAAGCACGAAATCATTAGGTACCAGCGCCCAAAACCCGCTTCGCGGGCCTTGGGCACTGGAATGCGGCCTTTTGCATGAGAAATTTGACTTTCCGATAGCTCGGGTCCTTCGGACCCTCCTACCACACCAGCGCGTGCAACTTGCAAGAATGAGGAAATTTGTATTTTTTGGAATTATGCAAAGTAGCCCTCCCTGGCGCCGGACACACACACACACAAAGATACGCGACCAAATTATATAAGGTAGGATCACCCAGATTTCGGTTGGTCTCGGGCACATTGTGATTTGCCGACAAAATTGCGAACAAAATTTAGTGCCACCGAATCAGTATGCCATTCGATTGAGGGCCGATACATAAACTAAGAATTTTTTTTTAGCCCGAAAAACCCACCTTTAAAACTATTTTGATTATAAAAACTTTGACTGCCCCCGCTATTCCCACCCCCTCCCAGCCCAGCTCCTCAGCCAAAAGTCCTATTAATGAATCAATATAAAAACCAATTAATTCGCGCGAGTATCTCAAAATGTTGGCCGTGGTCGAAAACCTCGGGAAAAGTTGATTGCTTGCGCCAAAAATTGTTAGGAATGTTTTTATAACAATTATAAGTCCGGGTTTCCTTTAATTAATTTTTGCAGGTCCAAAGTGAGTTTTCGTATCTCGGCTATCTTTAGTCCTACAGCGCTGTCAATGGTACGAAAATGTAGCTCTTGGTCTGTAGAATAAGCCTACAGCACGTTTGAGTCGAAAAACATGGAAAAATAAAAATATTTCAGTTATAGCAGCTGACCTCGGGGGGTAAACTGCTGAAGCCGTTTGAAAGCTTTGATACTGAAAATGGTTGGATTTATTGTAGTGTTCACTGTGGTTGTTCTCGAAACATGTCACTAAAAACACCACCTAAACCCCCCCTCCCC